CACATTCATCTAGTCACACTTCCATGCAGCCAGCCAGCCAGCAAATACCTTTCCTCGCCTCTTTGGAGGAGACGGTTCTGCATCATGTGCTAAGATTAAGGGCTCTGGATCAGCGCTATCTGGGTTCTTAGGCAAGAGCTTGACCTTTTTGAACCCCTGCTTCCTAGTCACCAGTACATCATGCCTGGGACATAGCTGACACTCAATAAACAGTAGCTATTGTTTTGGGACTATTATTTCAGACCTCTAAGAAGTGGGTGTGAAGTATTATGAGATTGGAGGAGTGAAGGATGCATTTGGGATGAGCAGGTCAACCTCTAGGAAACTGTTTTGCTGTCTCCATGCCTTCACCTACTTCCTTTGCTACACCAGCCCAGTCTATCCACTCTCCAGCCTCAGAGAATCAGAGCAGGACATGGCCTCCCATCGGGGCCAAACTGTGAAATTACTGGCTTCAGGCCCCTCCATTTATGCACCCTCTTCCCTTTTCCCTGCCCCTACTTCCATCGAAGTTCACAAAGCCCCCAAGTTCTTTCCCCACTCCTATCTGCTCCCAGGAGATTGTCGAAGGCACTCATTTATACTAGAACATTAAGGACTAATATGTGTAAGAGTCGGGGCTTTTTTTTTTTTTCTGGCTTTCTCACTTCATCCTAATCTCACTGCCCAGAGAATTCTGTGTTCAAAGTGGCATCACCACCTCCAGTTAAAAAGACAGGCATCAATGGAGGGATTTCTGGTATCAGCAAGCAGATGAGGGGTCTCAGGGACATAGCAAAGGTTCCAGGTACCCAGCAGCCCTGGGAAAGATGAGTGCAGCTCGGTTCAACCATGTAACTGAAGTGGCTCAACCCGTTTGTTCATCCCTGAGAAGTTTACCTGACGCGCCCACTTTACAGGCAAGATAACTGAAGCTCAGAGAGGGGTCATCTAGGCAGGTCTCCATTCTGGGACATTCCTCATTGCCTCCCCAGGTCTCAGCTGCCCTCGCCCAGACACTCAAGAGGGAGGGATCTCCTTCTTACCCCCGGGAGGTCCCTGCAGCTCAGTCTTGAGAGGTCCTGTTCTCTGGGCCCTCTGCTTTTGGCTGAATCTGCTCACAGGTCAGCCTTATATAGCAGCTAGAGTCTGATCCCAGACCCAGGGAGGGAAACTCCGTGTAATTACAAAAGACCAGAATCCGAATCCAAATTTGCTCTGCAAATTGGGCGTTGAGACCCAAAACCACAAGAGTTTGCGGTTTGTGGCTAATTCTGAGAGCTGTATTCAGCCCCGGATGGTGTCACATGAGCTGGGGTTTATCATCCCCTGGTCTGGGCACATTCCTGGAGACCCTAGCTGGGCCCCTAGATGGGGGAGGTGGAAGCACCTTCAGAAGCATCTAGTTTCCAGCTCTAAAGCAGGCACTGCCCACTTCAGAGGGCCTGGGCAGACCACACAGGCCCGGACTGGACTCAGCATCCAGCTGGCCCCGGTTCAGATCCTGTTCAACCTTGAACTCCCTGAGCCAGTCACTTCCTTCTTTTGTGCCTCTCATTACGTGTTTCCACCTGATAAATGGGTACAATACCTGTCTCACAGGGCAGATTTCAGGATTCAGGGAGATAAATATGGATCTGACTCTTCAAACTTGGGGCAGGTGCGAAGAGAACAAGGCGACTGGCTTCTTTTGACCTGAAGATTTTCTCCCAATATTTCATTATGAAATGTCCACCCATACAGCGAAGTTGAAAGAACTGTACAGCGAACACCCACGTACCTGTCACCTCACACCCACCAGCTACATCTCCCTTTAACATTGTTACACTTGCTTTATTGCATACCTATCCATCCATTAACCCACCTTTTTTAAAAACTGTCTTTCAAAATAAATTGCAGTTAACAGTGCATTCCTCTCAAAACACTTCATCTTGTAGGCCATTATGATTCTTTTCTTGAAATGTAAAGTTTATAAACAGTGAAATGCACAAATGTTAAGTGTTTATTTGTTGAGTTTTGACAATGTTATACAGCATGTAGCCCCAACCTGTATCTCAATATAGAGCATCTCCATCACCCCAGAATGTTTCATCCTGCCCTGTCCCAATCAGTGCCTGCTCCCATGCCTCAGAGCAGCCACTGTCCCCTCCAAGACCTGCTGGGACCATAGCCCAGAGCTCTGCCTCAGCCTTCAAGGCAGATCTGCCTTCTACACTCAGTACTGCTCCTCCACTTACATGGTGCTGCTCATTCCTTTACCATCACCACTCCGCCCACAGCCTCACTGCCTCCGGGCCTTTGCACATGCAATCTCTGCCATAGAATACTCTTCTCCAGACTACACTGGTCACATTAGTGCAGAAACGCCAGCTGTTCTGGAAAGCTTTCTGTGACAATCTCCAACTCCGACCCTTCCTCTGGACCACCCAGGGCCCTCTGAAGCCCACACTGAGATGATGGCATTGCTCTGAGCAAAGCAAGCTTGTGCCCCACTCCTAGCCCAGCATGGGCACAGATGACAGTGTAGCAAATGAATGAATGAATGAATGCTCTTACTCTCCACATCAGTTGGAAAGTTCTCTGAGTCCTTCTCATTTCCCATCCCCTAGACCCAGACTAGGTCTGACCTTTACTTTTAACTGATGCCACCTCCTCCTTCCCCTACCACGCTCACCTGAGAACTCCTCTGGGGTGAGGGGGTATGTTTCTCTCCCCTCCGAGGCCTGCTCTCAAACCGGGCTAAGAATAAATGTGTGTTCTCCTAAACACCTTGGGGGTTGTGGGGCCCTGAAGGCAGGCATGGCTGATGTCAAGTCCTGCCAAACTCACCAGTGTCACCGCTGGTCCCTGGGCAGCCCCTCTCTGGGATTCAATTTCCCCATCTGCGGTAGGTACATTGATGAAACAAGATTTGGAGCTGAACGCTGAGTTCGAATTTTGCTACCAGTTCTCGCCAAGCCTCTGGTTCTTTGGTTTTGAGATGGTGAGCAGAGCAGCCTGGCCTCAAAAGGATGTTGTAAAGGTCACATGACTTAATCATGTAAAGTGCTGAACACAGTAGGTACTCAGTAGGTGGCATTTTTATCCCCATCATCCTGGATCCCTGTTGGTTCTGTGTAGCAGTAAGTCTGTGAAAGATGTGAGGGGTGTGGAGGTGGGAAGAGCTCTTGAGTCTAGGCCCTGGACCACCTTATCATCTGTGAAGTCTTCGCAGAAGGGCTCCAGGGCAGGGACCCCAAGAACCACACACACTTGTGTTCCCACATCCCATTTGCCCTCTCAGCCCTGGAAAGTGCTCCTCTAGGGCCTCAGTCTGCCCATCTGAGAAATGGGCATAATCGTACTTCCCCAGCAGGGTTTTGAAGATTACAGAGGAAACATGTGGAATGTGCCTGGAACTTTATGGGGGCTCAGTAATCCCCCTTTTTGGCTCCCAATTGCCTGGTACTTAGTGTGACATAAATGCTTGTGAAACAAAAATATTACCTTTCTAAATTGAAATACAATGCAAAGAAGACAACTGTGCCTTCCCCACTGGCCCCTCTCCAACACTGGGGGGTCAGGGATCAACGACCACTGTGAATTGTAGAGGGCGGTGCACACACAAAGGTCAGTCACCAAGGCTCTGTCCCTGTCCTCTGTATTGAGACCAGCCAGGCCCTGGTGGCCATAAGACTGGCCTGCCCACTGCGGCCCCAAGAGGATTAGTGTAGCTCTGGCGCCAGGGAGATCAGCTGGGCTTAGTGTCCAAAAGGCACCTTTGTCTGGCACTGGCGGGACCAGGCCCTGGGAGGTGACCCACTCCAAAGGTGATTCAGCCAGGCCGGGGGTCATGTGAGGGGCTCATGCAGGGAGCTGTCAGGACCAGGAAACAGAACCAGCCCCACTATTCAGCCCTTGTCCTTCTCATGAACTGTCAGCTCACAGGCCTGCAGGGGGGCTGCCAAGGGAGGGGGCTCCTGCATGTCTTGTTTTATCGCCCATTCTTAAGTATGGAGGTTCAGAGCCTGGGCCTGGGTCAAGAGTCAGGGGGCCTGGCTTCAAGTCCTAACTTCATCACTTCCTAGCTATGTGGCCTTGGGCAAGACTCAACCTCTCTGTGCCTCTGTTTCCACAACTCTGGAATGAGGGCAAAAACTGTTCCTTGAAAGCAGGGTTGATATAAGGAGTTGATGACATAATATATTTAAAGTATTCAGAAGAGTGTCTGGCGAATGGTGAATGGATGGCTGGATGGTCAGAGGATCATTCCCATTGGTAGGTAAACCTCTAGATGGGTTCCAACTCTCCTCTGTCCCCTCAAATCCTCTGAGCCAGTTCCCAAAACGTCACTGGCACCTTTTCACTTAGCCCCACCCATAAATATCAACTTAGGGCCATTTCCTAAAACTAAGGAGACCCATCTTGAGCAATGGAGAGGAGCCCAGAAAAGAGAGGCAGGCCCCCAGTCTGCCACTGTGTGGTCTTGGGCCAGCTAGGCTCCTCTCTGGTGTCAACTTCCCCACCTGCACTATGAGCATCCAGAGTATCTCTGTTCTGAGGTCTGTCCTGAGGTGTGTTAACAGCAAGGTGTGCAGCCAGTAGGAACCCGACCAGAGCAGCACAGGGTTTCACTCATCTTTGCTGCCTAGAATGCTGGCTCCTCTTCTCCCTGGAAAATTCTTATTTACCCTTCAAAATTCAGCTTAGACATCACTTCTGAGAAGTGTCCCAAAGTCAGAGTGAAAGATGGAGATATTTAGAAAAATAGAGAGAGGAGAGGGAAGGGCAGGGGTGGGGAGGGGAGGAGAGGGAGACACAGGGAGCTCGAGGCAGAGGGGGAGGAAGGCAGGACAAGACACAGAGGCTGCCAGGCCAACCAGGTAAGTTTGTAACACGAAGCTACAAAGACTAGGTCCCAGTCCCTTCGCCTCCCAGGAGCCCTGCCTGAGGCTGGGGAGGGCAACAGAGGCAGAAAGCGAGGCAGCCTCTGTGTGACGAGAGAACAAATCAGCGGGGAGGTGCTGAGACAGAGGATTGTTTATTGGGAGCTCAGGACTTGCCAGGGAGGCCCCAGAGCTTTCTCCAAAGCAGTTTCATGGCTAACCCTGCAGTCCCCTCCCCAGACTCGGGGCAGAGCTGCAGGGCCAGAGCACCTGGGTGGGCCTGGGTGGATAAGGGACACTTAAACTGTCACCAACACAGGCTAGACCTGGGAGGGAAATTGAGGCAGAGTGGGCAGGTGGACAGGAATCTGGCAGTCGACAGGGAGGGATGGCGGCCGTCTGTCAGCCTCACGATGCCACAGTCAGCACAACGGCATTCTACAAGGAGCGACAGTTCTAGGTTAGGTCCCCTGAGTCCTTGTGCCCAACACCCCCGCCATATCCCCCCATCCCTGCAGCCATCTCTGTGTTCCTCCCTTACCACCCTGGGGTTAGCACCACACTTGGACCATAGCTGGCACTCATTAAATGAATGAATGAACAAATGAATGAATGATGATTAAACGACATTCAGTGTGGGAAAGGTCACTGACTTTGGGATTTAAGAGATCTAAGTTAAAGTGCCATTTCTCCTACTAATTTACTGTGTGAACTTGGGCCAGAAATTTGGCCTCCTCCAGCCTTGGTCCTCATCTGAGAAATGGACTCAGAACTCCCTGATCTGCCCACTCCCAGCAGTTCCAAGGCTCAAAAAGTTGTGCTAGACTGAAAAGGATTGTGGGGCCATGTCAATATTCAGTAAGAAAAAGGGTCAATCTATTAGCCATGTCTGCCACAGGCACAGCAGAAGGCAGAGACAGAATATGTATTTGCCACCCCTGGGCCAGGGAAACTGTGATTCTGTGAGAAAAATCTGAGAGTCCATCCTATAGGCCAGTCATGTGTCTGAATTCAACAGGAAAGAACTCTGTGATTGATTGACAATGTCTGCCATGGGCAAGTAAGGAAGGAATGGTAGCAGGTATGTCATATATTTGCCATTTCCAAGTTGGGTAATTTATAATTCCCTGAGCAATTTAGCAAATGGTGCAGGACAGACCAGATGATGAGGCAGAGCAATCCCATCATAAGTTTCAAGCAGGGTTCTCCAGAGACAATCTTAAGGTCCATCTAGGCCACATCTGCGTGAGAAACTCACCTCTATGATCTCCAGGGCTGCATTGGCAAAATTGACATTGAGAACCTTAGGCAGGGGAATTCCAACATCCAGGTTCACTGTGAAGAGGGGGTGGTTGAAAGCAAAGATATGTGTGGGGTCTGGGTGGGACCTGCTGACCCTATTCCACCACTTTGCTTGAGCTGGCCAGCTCTCTTCTTGGAGACTCAGGTTCCCTTATTGGCCTACTCTTACTCATTCTACTAAACCCAAATGAAAACACCCCTTTTCTGTACTGTTGTAAGTAGCTCCCCTCAGCAAAGCCTCCTTGAAGTTCTGTCAGTGCCTTGCATGCTCTGGGTCATCTATATTCTACTCATTTACATGACTATTTCCCTCTGAACTGTGAGCTTGAAGACATGACTCAGGTCAGATAGCTCTTGGGGCCCAGAGTCTGTTGTGATGCAGGAGCTAATCAGTGTTGTTTGAGTGAAAATTATCTTGATTTCTGCGTCTTAGAAATAGGGATAGACCCCTCTCCAGCCTCAGTGTCTCTATTAAGAACAATGGAGAGAGGCAATGATTCAGAAATCCTGAGTTCAGACACTCCTCGTGTCCAAAGAAGACAGTGAAGGCAGCCCGTACTGTTGAGCTTCGGCACATAAGCCACTCGGACCACATCACTGAGCCATTCTTCTAAGCGGGATGCCTGCAACAGAGCACATGGAGGGCTGGGAGGTGTGGCCCCACAGGGAACGGCGCAATCCTTCCCAGGGAGAAAAACCCAGAGGCCCAGTTGCCCCAGCCTCACCGCCCCAAGCCTGAAGGCAGTTCCTGGTGGGCTGTCCACCAGGGACCCCAAAGGGGACTCTGATTTAGGTCGGCTTCACTCTGGGCCCCATGAGCTTGGAAAAGCTGCTCTCCTGGAGGAAGGGTCCGTGGGTCCTGGAAGGGGCCCGTGTCTGAGAAAGAAGGAGATGTGCCTGTCTCCAGTAACTCTGTGTGGTCTGCTCTTAGATTCCTATCAGTTTACGAACATTGAGAACAATCCAGAACCTGAGACCACCGTGAGATTCCAGAACGTCAGAACTCTATGAGAAGCAGCAAACTAAGGGCTCTGTGTGCCTCTGAAATACTGAGACTGTCTGAGTTCAGAAACTTTATTACCTATGTAAAGTTCCAGAATTCTGAATCCTTGTAAGATTTGAGATATTTACAATTTTGTGAGGTTCCAAGGCTTTGGAAGATCGTGAGATTCACGTTCCCAAGATGATGACAGTTTCACACGTGCACATGCGTGTGCGTGCGCCCCCACACACACATACACACACATGCACACGCACATACACACATGCCCTGATGTCCGCCCACCCTGTCTTGTTGGGGCAGAGCTCCGACCAAGGCCAGCTCATCACAGGGCCCATGACGCACCCTTTCCACCCCGACTTATAGACCCTCACCACCGCCAAGCTGCTCACCCTCCCAGAAACTTACATCGAAGGCGTGGCTGAAGGGGGAGGCCAGCTTGACACTGAGCCTGGTGGAGAAAAGACAGATGTTGAGGGGCCCTGGCACCCACCACCCCACCTGCTGAGTGGCACTCTGCCCCACCCACCCTGCCTGCCCCACCCCTAGCTCCTCAGGATCAAGAAACAGGATTCCAGGCCCCATTCTGCCTCTAACCAGCCTTGGCTCAGAGACTCAGTTTTCCTACCTGTAAAACGGACCTGGAGGGATCTAACCTCCCTCTGAGACATCATGACCGCCACCTCTGACTCCATGGCCCCAGAGCCTTGGTCTGACTCTCAACTGTTTGACTAAAGCTCTCTAAGGAGTGGCCCTCTCACAGACTGAGCCCTGGACACAGGGCGCCCTGCACTCAGCAGTTGCTCACTGAAGGCAGTAAACCACCAACAGATCACAGCTGGCCCAAATGAGGTCCAGGGCCAGAGCCCAGACATATGTCTCTGTCTCCTGAGGCCCGAGGCGTCAACCACCACCAGGAAGGGGAGATGAACTGAGGTAGTGGGCAAGGCCTTTGCCAAGCTTAGAAATAGGGTGGCGGTGGAGACTTGCAGGGGGCAGTAGTAGCCAAAGGGGTCTGCAGGGGACCATAAAATGGGGTCAGATGAGCACTGGGAACCTATGGCTCAGGACAGTCAGATCCCAGAGCCCCCTGGGAAAACCCCTGCATCCAGGGGCGGGACAGACTGGCCCCTGGCCCCAGGCCCCAGGCCGAGGTGAAGGCACTGGGCCTGGAGAGCGGAGGCCCAGACTGTGTACCTGCCTCCCGGGACAACCCGCTGTGCACGTTGTGCTTTGCAAGCTGTAAATTGCTGCGTGTTTATGAGGAAGAATTGTCATCAGCTTCATCATCTTTGTTACTATGATTATCACAGGGGTGGAGAAACTAGAGAGAAATAACTAGTTCACATGAATAACAAGGACAGTTAGCTCTGTGGCCCGCTTCAGGGCTGATAACTCAGGAGTCTGGACTCCATATCCCAGCAGTGGGTTTCTCTCCAGGGCCAGGTTTTGAGCAGCCACAGTGGAAGATGCTTGCTCTGGAGCCACTTCTCTGAGCTCCAGTTGCCTCATCTATAAAATGGGCCAACACTACCCCTTCCCCACAGATTCTGAAGGCAAAGAAGATGCTGGTAAAACACCTATAATTTAGTTGATGCTCAAGATCTAAGAGGCGGTTTCTGTTGGTCCTTAATTCTTGTTCATAAAGGCAAGGGCTAGGATCCCACGTTACCGTTCCAGAGACAGGGAGAGGTGCAGCCTGGTAGCTGAGGGAGCCAGCTGGGCATTTAAAGTCATCACCTGCACAGGAAAAGCGGGCAGATTAAGCAGGAGGAGCTTGAGGACAGGTCTGCCTTGGCCAATGGATGAATTTCCACCATCCATTCCCTCCACTAACCCTTGCTGAGGCCCTATTGTGTTGTTAGGGTCCATGCTGGGCTATGAGGAGGCAACTTGAAGGTTCTGGTGCTCAGGAAACAGAGCACTGAGGGCAACCAGTGTCATATGAGAGCAAGTCCTGGGGCTGCAGGAACTTGAACAGACCCTCAGTCCAGCCTGCGGTGAGCCGATGAAAGGGATCCCCAGCGAGGTGACACCTGAGCTGAATCTTGAAAGGTGAGGAGTGAGCCAAGGGAAGGGGAGAAACAGCACTCCAGGTGGTGGTCCCTGCTCAAAGGCAGGGTGATGGGACCTGGCAGTCCCGGGTAACTGAGGCTTAGTGTGCAAGGACAGGAAAGGCAAGGGAATGAGGCAGAGGGCATTGAATGGTGTGTGGTCATGGGAGCAAGTGAGCAGGAGAGGGACCTGCCTCTGCCCAAATATGTGTTAGGGAAAACTAGCAGAGGTGGGGTGGAGGGGAGCAGACTGGAGGTAGGGGGCCAGCAGGAAACTAGAGGGTCATCCCAGAGATCCCAGAGATATCTGAGCAGAGAGGCTGGGGAGATGGGGGCAATTCCTGAGATCCTGAGGAAACAGCATGGACGTGTGTGATGCCGGAGCAGGCAGGTGTCTAATGGCACTTGGGTCTCAGCTCAGGTGATGACACTGGGGGAGGGACTTCCTGTGTGTGCTGTACCATGTGGGGCTTCCTACCCTGAAATCTGCATCCTGGAGAGGGTCAGCCTACTCATAACCCCAGTGCCAGCTCCCACCCCTCAGCCACTCACCCCGTTCAGCTCAAAGAGGGCTTCAGGGGTCCCTTTAGGGAAGTAGGATAGCACATGGATGTCAGCTGGGATGGAGACCGTGGCCTTCTTGTTCTGGAGCGTGACTGTGGGTGCTTCTTTCACCCGCAGTGAGAGCAGGAGCTGCTGACCAGGGGGCAACTTCCTCAGGGCCTGGAGAGAAGCAGGAGCCGAGCATGGGGCATGAGGGCAGCCCCACTAATAGAATCAGGGATCCCTGATTCTACCACCTTTGCCTCCCTGAAGCCCCTCTCCACCATCTTTAAACTCCCCAGAAGAAAGAGCCTCTGCTGCGTGTCTAGCTCCAATCTCCTCCTTTGCCTGAGACTCCTAAGCCCTTTAGCCAAAGACTCCAATAAGCAGAGGCCCCACTCATGCTTTGAATCGTTACTTTCAAGAGGGCTCACAGAGTTGGTCCGTGCCCCCAGATTCAGCTGCCCCTGCCACTCTTTCTGGTGGAAACCCAGACCTTGCTGGTTTCTTCCTAACCTCTATCAAAAACTGCTGTTTTGTAAAGACCTGGTAGTAGTCATTTCAACTTCAGTATAAATCAGAGTCCAACAGCTGGAAAGAAGCTGGTTCATCCCCAGCCAAGGGGTGGAATGCTGAAGGCCAGGCCCTGTAGTCATGTACTGATTGATGCCCACTGGTCAAATGTCTCTGAATCTTCTCCCTTCAATTCCCTTCCCAAGGCCACTGCCCTGAGTCTTCTCTCCGAGGACAAAGAAGAAAGACTAAAACCAAGATGAAATAAGGCAGCTGAAGGGTGGAGGTTCAGTCACTCGGAAAGAATCTCTTGTCCTCTGCTTGACAGAGGAGTAACAGTCACAGGATAAATGCCCAGTTGACTTCTGGGGCAGCTAAATCCTGGTCCTTTCCTCTCTAAGCAAAATCTGCTATCAGGAAAGGATAGGTGTTAGTCAATCACACTTTAGTGTGAATTTGGACTCAACATTCAATCACAGCTCTCTGGAGAGCTGTATTGGGAAAGATTCTAGAGTCCATTCAGGGTCATCAGGAAAGGACTACAGAGATAAAAGCCTATGAGAGGGTCACTCACCTCAGGGGCCAAAGCTGCCAGGTCTGTAGTTGTCAATGGGACATTGCTGGGAACCTGGACCCGAGACCAAATAGGATGGAGGGTAAATACAGAGATGAGATAGGGATCCCTCAGCACATATAGAATATTTTTTCCCGCCCCAACCCCCAATTACATACACACATCTCTTACAGACACTCATTTTTCTTCTGTTGGTCAATGATAAGCCTTACTATGTGCTAGGCACATGCTAAGGGTTTTGTGTGCCTTTGCTCATTTCACCTTTACAACAGCTCCAAAAAGGAGCCGCTATGATTACTCTCATTTTACAGATGGGAAACTCAAGGCTCCCGTTCAGGGTCATAAGCTGGTAAGTGGTGGCACTAGGCTTTGACCTGGGTAGGCTAATTCTAGAACTTCTAAACTGCCCTGCCAGCACACAATCTGAAGGGCCAGGAATCTGACACTAGACAGTTTTGCCTTTCACCAAAAAAGTATGTTTAAAAACTATGAATTTGTTTCCAGTATTTACAAATCAGGACATTTCACTTAAGTTTGCCAGTTTCTGGCTAAAAAATTGGAAAATCTGGTCACACCTGCCTCCCAGCTCAGGGGTCTGTTTCAACCACCCAGAGGCCTTTGGAGTTCTCTCTGGCCGCACCCTGCAGGAAATAAGTGATCAATCCCTGCTCCCTTGGGCTGAGCTGCAGATGGGGTGGGGGGGCAGTGGCTCAGAATTCATTGTCTTTAGACAGGGCTGAGATCAAGAAAATGTCTCTGGGTAAGGTTTTTGGGGGCTTGGCCTTCCAGACATCTGTGAGGGCATGAGAGGGGCCAGAATGGAAACAGAGAGGTCTAAGAAGCTTTGGAACAAATATCCAAGAAACCTTGGTATAGTCCAACCCTACTGTTCTCGCCAACTCAAATCTGCTCTTGAGGAAGCAGTGGAAATGTTAGCCATTCACACTTTAGTGTGAAATTGGGCTTTGACTCAAGGGCTCATCTGGCACAGGGATGGAAAGTTGGCTACATTTCATATGCCAATTTGGATCAACTGAAAGTGACTTTCTGAAGTATCATGTTGAGAAGGATTCAGAAGTCCCATTCAGGTTTAGCCAAGTAGAGGGCCACCATCAAATAGCAACATCTGCCACAGGGACAAAAGTGGGCATGTGTGTGCTGTAAACTTGTCTAACTCTCTCCAGTTAGAAGAAAAGGGTTCATCAAGGTTGATCAGTGATGATGTGACTAGGTCACCACTAGCATCACCAAGGCACAGCAAAGCAGGGAGCCACACTCACCAGCTCAGGGGTGATGTCCAGGTCAAGGGCACCATTGGTCTGCAGAAGCTCAAACACAGTGTTGAAGAGGTACAGAGGCACGGTCACCTGGGATGTGTGGTCCTCCTTGGGGGGCACCTTGATGGGGTGGTGGGGCTTGGGGAAGTCGATGATGTCACCTGCTATGCTCTTCACGATGGGCTGCAGGGGCCGGAGACAGGGAGTGGCGGGGTCTCAGGGAGCTTGCTCACCTCCCTTTGACTCAGCATTCCCCACCTGGCCTCCACTGGTACTCAACCCCCAGCTGTGGGCAGGGCCTCAGTGGGCACTCACATTGATGTCCAGCTCTATGTACTGGTTTGAGATGAGAGGCAGTGTGGCCAGAGTGAATTCCACGGACCCAAGAGCCCCAAGGGGCACCAAGCCTGCATGGAGAGGGGAAGAGGGAGAAGGACCCCACAAGTCCAGGCCCCAAAAATTACAGGCCTTACTTCAATTTATTGAGTGCTTGCTGAATGCCTGGCATTCTACTAAGACTCACTGGGCGCTCCTATAATCCCCATTTTACAGATACAGAAACTGAGGCTCCAACAGAGGAAGTCACCAGCCCCAGGCTACACAAGCCCCAGAGCAGCAAAGCCAGGATTCCTGTTTTCCAGAGCTGGTACCACTAACTACCTTGTTGCCCTGCCTCTCTCATATAACATCACGTATAGAGACATAGCTGCCCCCAAGTTTTCTATCCTTATCCTAGTTATGCACTTTTATACTTTTCAAGGCCCTTTTGTGAATACAAAAGGCATCTGTGTCTCCATAAGGCTCAGAGAGACTGGGGGTCACTGGAACTGTGGGGCCTGGGGTTCCTAACATAAGCTCTGGACTTGGATCATCTTGTCTGTCCAGATAATAATAACATGCTTCTGCCTCATGCTTCTGCCAGTGCCAGACACACCACCGGTGCTCAGTATGTGACCTGAAGCCCCGGGCAGATGGGGAACTGGATGGCTCCGAGTCTCCACGCCCTGCTGAACTGGCCTCAGCCCAGAACTCCACCAGCAGGCCTCCTTAAATGGGCGGCCTTGTCAGTCTGAGGAACACATGAAAGGACCCAGAATTCTGAGCTGTCCTCTTCCCTGGTACCCCACCCATTGGGGTAATGGGGGAGTGGGTAAGAGGAGGTGCAAAGAGGAGGGGTGGACCCCAACTTACTCAGCACAGTTCCCAGGAGCTCGTTCACCACGCCCAGCACACTGTCCACCACGGGGCACAGCTGTGTCCGGAGGAGACGGGAGTTACAGGAAAGTAAGAGCGGGCCCCAGCCTGGCACAGGGAACAGCAGCACTTTCTTTAAATGATTTGCTATGTGGTTCCGGGACCAAGGCAAGGCAGAATGTGGAGATGGACGCGGGGAGGGGCACACAGAGGGAGGGGACAGGAGCTGGAAGTGTCAGAGGGCAGAGTGGTTGGAACAGAGGACAAGTTACAAGGGCCCCCTCAGAAATCCTTGGAGGATGCTGCAGGGATGGAGAGACACATTCCAGAGACCAGTTGGGGGCGTGGGGACCAGGCCCTCCCCTGGGGAGGCAGAGTGGCTCTTCCCTCTGAGGCCTCAGGCCCTCCTGCCACCCAGGTGGGCGCTGGGAGATGTACAGTCCAGACCCCACAGAAGGGCGCCTCCTGCCTCTACCTGGAGGCAGGCCTGGGCCCAGGGCATCCACTGCGCACACCACCCTGTGTTTCCTGAAAACCCTTGGGCTGTGAGAACAGAGAGCAAGCAGTTCGGCTTCCAGAATCCTGAGTTTGGGAGTCACAGAAGCTGAGGCCCCTGGAGCAGAAACCCCAGAGGTGACCCAGCACAGGGCCTTCAGTCCACAGCTGGGGCCGGAGGAGACGGGCGACCTGCTCAAGGTCACAGCTCTTCTCAGAGAGACGAGAGAGGGCTGCCTTTCCACTTAAACTTGGAGCCCCAGACTCTAGGGCTTCTGGGGTCAGGCACGTTACAGAAATGAGAGGAGACCAGAGGGACTGTGATGGGAGGAGGGAGGACCCCCTGGGCGCCAACCAGGTGTGACCTGCAGGAAGGAGGTACGTGCAGCTGGGGTGGCTGATTGCATAGGAGAGGCCAGAAATCGGATTGTTAAGAGAAATTTCTAATCTCTAAGTGCCAGCAATTAAGTCTTATTTTTAAAATCTCTTGGAGTCACATAAATCCTGTCTTGTAGCCAGTTGTTCAGAGGCCTAAGTTAGGGGCCACAGTTGAAATGTACCCACATCCCCTTGTTGAAATCCAGCTGAGACAGGCCTGGCTGGGGTCTCTGCTGCTGGGAACTTCCCTTCTCCCCCTGAGCTGCTTTTCTGATTGGATTCTTCAAGCTCAGGGCAGTTTTGCCGCTTCCACGGGGGTTCTTCTCATGAGAGGTCCTGCCCGGGGATCAGGAGGCCTGACTGCCCTTTGCAGGCTGTGTGTCCCCCGCAGGCCCCTCCCCTCTCCGTCCTCGATGAAGTGGGGTCTTGGCCAGACCAGCTCTTCTCAAGTGTAGTTCAAGGGACAGCGGGGGCAGGCCAGGGACAAGCATCCTGGAGCAGTTTAATCGTAAGGTGCTTAACATATGATGCATTACTATACATGTACATGATTTTCTGGACATGTTGGCTAAGCACAGGGCTCAGTTTAAAATCACTGAGTGACCCAATTTTAATTCAGAGCTAGTTTAAAGAAATATATAAATAATAATAATATAATACACGTGGCAAAGACAGAGCAGGGGATAAGAAAGGGACTTGGATTTGGGAGCAGGGGACTCAGGTCACCTGAAGCTGTGAGTTTAGGATTGGGAACTCTGGGGACACATTGTGCCAAGCCACCTCCAGACTGATAGGTGGCACCTGGGAGTCCCGTGGGCAAGCCAGGATGGGATTACCTGGTGGGCGTGAAAGGAAAGAACGGCCTAATCCTGTCTGGCGCCCAGATTTACTCCAAGCTGGGGGAGGAGGGGCAAGCCCAGGGGGAGGGGTGCCACTAGCCTATGACCCCCACACTCACCAATCCTGGCAGCACTTTGAAGAGTGTCTGTTCCACAACCCCAAAGAGCGGTGCAGGCAGAACCCTGGGCAGAGAGAGATGCGTGAGGGTGTGGTCAGTGCACAGGGACAGTGCCAACCCAGATGACGTAGCAGGCTGGGCACTGGGGGCTCTGGACATCTCCTGTCTTCTCTCCTGGTGGGGTTGGCTGGGGCTTTGGGGACCTGGGTTCAAATTCTGGGTCTGTCTCAACATGGGACCCAGAGGAGGATTTCAGTTTCCCCATCCATACAGTGCCTGCTTTAGAGTTGTTGCCGCTGAGATCAAATGGGAGTGTTTATGTGTCTGTACTCAATAAATATCTGATACCCTGTATCCTCCAATAAGTATAGACAAGTGACATTTGGCCTAGAACAGCACCTGACTTAGAGTGAGGGTTTAATAAGTATTCGTTGAATGAATGAATATTTGTTGAATTAATAAATATCTGTTGAATAAATGAGCGCATGAGAGGGTGGCCTGAGGATGAGAAGTGCATGCAGATGGGCTTAGGTCTGTTTGGAGACCATGGGGGTACAGAGGGAGGGGTGACAACCACAGGACCACAACCACAGGTCACCAACACCCTCCTGGGCTCCACCTCCTCCAAGCCCCCTCTAGCCCATAGGAGCAGGATGGAGCCCAAAGACCCTGCCCAGAAACCCCTTATTAAGGCCCTTCTGCAGACAGGACCAATCTAGGTACCCTCTTCTTGGGAGCTAACACAGAGCTGCCTGATCACCCATCACTGCTCAGGGCCACCCAGCACAGGTGGAGTGTAAGTGTGGGATTTGGCCTGGAACAGAAAGACTAACAGGGGTTGACTCAAATTTTAGGGCAGGGGCCGCTGGGGGTCTGTGTAGAGTGCTGAGAGAAAGCCTAGGACCTGAGTCCATAACCAGCGCATCTTCATGCTTGCCTCAATCTGTGTGTGTGACCTTGGACAAGTTCCTTGCCCTCTTTGGGCCTCAGCTGTCCCATGGGAGTGACGATTCAAACAAGTATAGGAAGGGCCATTGTGTTGGAAGAAATGGATACAAAAGTGTCAGAGATTTCCAGATCATTGAATTTAGGTCCTCGTAATACAGATGGGGACAGTGAAGCCCAGACAGGGGTGGGGGTTTCTGTGGGGGTCACACAGCAAGTCAGGGCTGAGCTGGGTGTCTGATTTGCTAAGAGAAGGGACTGAGATGTCCACAGGTCAAGGGACCACAGGGGACCCTTGTTCTATTTGGAAGAAAGGACAGCAGGAGAAAGGGGACACTCAGGAGTGGATATGGCAAACCGCGGACTGGGCCAGAGCTCGTGACGGTGCTGGCCTCAGTCTACGGCTCTGTGAGGCGGGTTGAGCCAGCAAGACCGACGGAGGCGGGGTGAATTCAGGACCCGCCCAGCGGGCCGGTCCCAGGAGACCCAGGAGATGCCCGTGCGCGCAGGCGCGATGAGCCCGGCAGGTAGGGGCGCGGGGAAACGGCCCAGCACCGGCTCAAGCCTGCGCACTCACCCCGAGAGCACGCTGATGTGGCCCAGGAGCGTGCTGCAGCGCTTGAGGATGAGGATGGGCGTACCTCGCGCGCTCACGCCCAGT